GACAAAACCTCTGGTCCCTGTGACCAGCCCAGATTGGATCCTGCAACATTATCCTGGGACACATATATTCTCCTTCATTTATAAAACATCAGATGTTTGAACTCCAGATCCTTTATGAATATTAACCAATATTAGTTGCAATAGTGCTTCATTTGGATCCACCTTGCTTATTTTGATATATTGTCAAAAATAACCATGCATTCACTGTATTTCCTAAATTTTAGACAGTTATCCAATCCAGGAAAGGAGTTTTCTTGGAAGCCTTCGGTAATGAATTGATCAATCGCCTTTTGAAACATCATGTACTTAACGTAATGTACATCCTGAATATAGTATATTTATTAATGTTCCTAAATAATTCTAGGCACTCCGGCCACAGAACCAACAACTCTATGCGCCTAATTGAGGTGGTTCTGCATAAATCAGCATCTTCACCGGTCTAAGCAATTTTTATTTCAAATATATTTTGATCAAATTGATAATAGATAAATATACATGTATCGTGGAACTCTGAAAACTAAATCAGCACCCCATGTGACAATAGGAAGAAAAGCCACAACATACAGTAGCTGAACCAGACATGGTATTCAGCAGGTTCTAACCAGTTTTGGAGAACCAGTAGCGGAAATTTTGAGTCGTTCAGAGAACCGGCAAATACCCCCTCTGACTGGAGTTTTTACAGTATCCTTCCCCTGCCACGCCCACTAAGCTACACCCATAGAACAGGTAAAAAAAACCTGAATCCCACCACTGAGCTGAACCTTCATTCAGCTGAAGTGTGGCTCAAAATTAGACTGCAATAATAGAGAAGAATAAGCCCAACGAGAAGAGAATATCCGAAAAGAATGCACCAGTTCTAGAAAGAACATCCAGAATCTGAAATAACAGAAGAGAGGCTACACCTATTCTTTGCCAAATAGTTTAACAACAAGAAGGCAAAAGTGAAGATTGGTTAAGATTTGGCAAAACCTACCTGATAATGAAAGTTCCAACAGAAGAGGCAGCATCTGGCAATCACAGGCCAATTACCTGCTTACCAACAACTTTCAATTGCTAACTGATGTGGTAGCTGACCCAGTCCAATAGCATCTAGTTGAAAACAAGCTCCTTCCACCTGAGCAGAAAGGAAACCTCTGAAACAGCAGAGGAACAAAGATCAGCCCCTAATTGACAAAATGATTTTGGAAAACTGCAAGAGAAAGAAGACCAATTTGAATGTAGCATGGATTGGTGACAAAAAGGTGTTTGACACTCTGCCACATGATTGGATAATCAAATGCCTAGAAGTCAGAAGCTTTGTGCCATGATTAATGGCACTATGAAGAGACAATTGTTGGTCAATTATGATAGACTAAGAGGAGTTAAGATCAAGACAGAAATCTATGTTCTATCTTTCAAGGAAACTCACTATCACCACTTCTATTTGTCGTTGCACTGATTCCTCTATCAACAATGCTGAATAATTCAGGCCACGGCTATCAAACAGCAAAAATATCTACCACACTATCTCACCTCCTTTATGTGGGTGATCTGATTGTATGGAAAAACACCATTTCAAATAGAATCATTGCTCAACACTGTCCTTATATATAGCCAAGATATGGAGTTTGCACTCGACAACAAGCCACCCTTACCAAAAAGAGTGGGGAAATGATGAAAACTGAAGAAATCAAGATGTTCTATGGAAATAACAGTCTGTAAACACTGGTGTGTGGATGAAGGGCATGATATATCCCTGCCAACTTACCTGGCTTCCTATCCATGGCTTTAAATTCTGCTTGAGTGCAATCCACTATAGCAGCTATGTGTCTAATGACTGGAATTGCTCAAGTGTTAATTGCCTTGATGGTATTTCCTCCACTGAGTTTGAATGTTAAGATCTTCATTCTTTTGATGTATTCGCTTTTAATCTTCTTCTTGACTTTAGTGCACTTGATGTCATCAGTAGGAAGGATGCCCATATACTTGTAATCATCCTCATTCAAATTCTGGGTGTTATTTTTATAGGGCATCTTGATTTCTACGCTGTGCACAGGATCAGGTGATGGCACCTAGTACCTAAAGATGTTTCCAATCCCTAATAGCTTGCAACCTAGGATTCTTGCAGCCCAGGATTCTTGCTTTAAAGATTTATACATAGAGTGATAAATACAGAGTAGAGTGGAGTGGAGTGGAGTGGAGTGGAGTGGAGTGGAGTGGAGTGGAGTAGAGTAGAGTAGAGTAGAGTAGAGTAGAGTAGAGTAGAGTAGA